TCTGCAATAAATCTAGTACTAAAATGAAAGATTTAAGCTTCGCCTCAATTATACTTTCAACTGCGTAAAGGAAGGCTTCGCGTTTAGACAATATAATCTAAGAGTTCCGAGGAGGAATGCTTAAAAATACATGGAACTTTATTTAAAAAACTGTAGACTGATTATATTGATAAATTATACAATGCTCTGACAAATTTTCTCATTGTGATAAGCAGTAACTTAGACTTTTTTTTTAAAGGTACGAAATAATGTTAAGTAGAAATTGATGGGTAAGTTAAATCCAGGATGGCATTTTACTAATATGGGGTGCCATTGTAGGAGATTTTCTCAGCTAATCTATTGTAGTTCATAGTTAGGTTTCATACACCAAGTGGGTACGAAAACTGCCTCTTCTGTGTGACTGAAAACACGATTTATGTTTCCAAGCAGCCGAACAAAGAAAACTGTAGAATGGATAATCTCATTCTTGTTTCTCGGTTGAGTATTTCTATTAAACTGATGAAAGATTGAGATATAATAAGCGAAATGTAATTTATTGCTTTAAAATAGAATTTATTTTATTATAAAATACAATAAAATAAATAACTAAGTAAAATAACCAAGGTCAGATGTTGTGCTGTACAATGCTTAGAATTAATTTTTCAATTTCGTTCGAAAATTTTTTAATTTCATGTCCAGAAAAAGGCAGAAACTCTAAAGAAACACTCATTGCATATAATTTCCAAAATACTTGACATGTATAGCTATTTAAACACTAAAGCACGATTTTAGAGGTATAGGTTTTCGACAAAGACATGGTTAGTTTTAGACTTCTGTATCCAATGATATTCAGGGAAGTACAAACTGGTATTTTCATCTTCTAAGCACTGGGGACTTCAGCGTTCGATGCATTTAGGAACTTGATTTCCATAATGTTGTATTTAGAAACTAATTTACAACAATGAAAAGGAGAATTTTTCAGCGTATCATACAACCTTAACACCGATGTAGTACACGTCACTGTAAAATGTATGATTTTATTGAAAAACTGAAAGGCGAATTTTTTACATACTGAAAAAAAATCCTCTTTAAAAAAAAAAAAAAAAAAAAAAATTTTAATTAGTCTACAAGGAACATATTACTGGGACATTACAAATTACATCTCTTTCTCGAATTATGTCACCTCATTGCTCATTATTGTAATAAAGTGTAAGATTTAAAAACAAAATGTGCTTCTTGGTAATATTTTGGTACTTTTCAATTGCAATAAGGTTATTATTAGAGTATTTTTAATTCACTTGTCATCTCTGATTTCATTATTATGGGAATAAAGAATGTTCTATTACCCTCAACTTTTTATTTATTTACTTATTTATTTTCTTTTTTTAATTTTTTGTTTTATCAATATCTATACCAGTGGTACCCGAAGCATAGATTAAGAGACAATTTTTGGTGCACGAAGAAAAGCTTTGAAATTCTTTTTATCTCGGTAATTACCAGTAATAATTAATTAATTTATAACACATTTTGAATGTTAAACTGGGGCCTAAAAATCAGATGACAAATTTTGTATATATATATATATATATCTTCCGTGCGTAAATATTTTTCTTTAATTTACTTTTCTCCCTTTCTTCAAAGAAAACAATTTTTCTCCGGAGAATATGTGATAAATCACGTGTTAACTACATAGTTGCACCCCACAGTGCAGTTAAGCAATCAAATGTCACTAGCTGTATAAAGCCATATATTTATAGCTGGTATTTTAGATTATTAAGTTAAGTAATACACTCCCAACTCCCCCACTTGCAAAGCGTTAATTGTCGTTCCTATCTAAAAAAGAAAGAAAAGAAAAAAGAGCTGAGACGTAATTAGATGTCCTGCACCCATCAGACGACGCGACGTTGTTTGAGCTTTGTGCTAAATTCATTGACGTCTTTGTGGAGATGTGATACACGAAGTATGTGTTTCGGTTGTTAATGGGAAAATAATCTAGTCGTGAAATGAAATGGCAAGTATTCATGGTTAGGTGCTGAGCGTTCGGAACAGCGGGGGCGCCCCCCCTTCCTCTGCTCTCGTTCGCTATTGAATCGCCGCGATTACCGAACAATAACTACCTTGAGCTAGCACGAAGGGCCCAACTGACGGGTCACGTGACACGGGGAGCCGAGCGCGCGCCCTTGAAGAATGGCTCACGGAGTGAAGTACCCAGCAGTAGAGAAGAGCCTTTGAACTCTCCCGTGATTTACTTTACGAGTAATCGGCTTTTAACGCCTTGCGAAGGAATATTACAAGGTGGATTATCCGAAGCTCTTGCTCTTACTTCATCTCGATAGGTCTGCAGAAAAGTCTGTTAAACGAGTAACTTAATCAGCGTCACATTAGCTATATTTCTCCGGGTAAAGATTCATCAGCCGGAACATTTCGAATAGGCAGCATTAGGAGTAAGTGGAGCTTAATCTAAGCAAATTAGCCGCACTACACAAATTTCTTTTTCCCCTCCATTCGCAACGTCATTACGTAGTGTAACGTTTTCTTTTCAATCTTCCTTCGATTTTGTTTGCAGAACTTCCCGATTTTATTTAATATTTCTCACATTTCTTTATTCTTTACTTTGCTTTATCAAAAGTTAAATAAGCTTGTTGCTGCGGAACCCTCTACCATAACATGAACATTTGAAGGATACGTGCTACTTATAAGAAGCTCTTTTTTTCACCAGTTTATTACTTCCTGCAGGCCATTATTTCCTGCCGTTTGGCTTACTGCTAACGTTCTATAGCCCATCTTAGGAAACTAAAAAATATCCATGGACATTTTTGGACTATATTCAATGTGAAATAAATTTATAAATAAAATCGTAGTAGCATAAGTTTGTTCAACCTGTATTAACTTTAGTCATGCTGAGGCTGGTGGGTTGGAATTGCAGTAAAATTATGAGACATGAAGGGCCTGAGTTAAGAAATTAAACGCCTTTAAAATGATCCAATCGTGTGCTTGCAAGAAAAATTCAAATACAACAGTACTAAAATGGAACAAACAAACAAAAAAAAAAAAAAAAAAAAAAAAAAAAAAAAGAAAAGATTTTCTCCGATATAAAAGATAAAAAAGATTATTCAAATAGTCCTACGAAAACTCTACTTTTTCTCTTGCAAGAGAAAAAAAAGACGCCATGAAAAGTGAGTAAATTATAGTCCTTTTGCTTTCATTTACGTGAGTCAAAGAAACAGCGTGTAAAACAAGATCTCAGTTTATCAGCATCCGATAAAGTCAAAAAATTTATTAAAGGGGGGGGGAACTATAATGGGAAGATTTATTACACCAGAGAAATCTATGAATCGGTTCATTTTTCTAATCCTTTCAGCTCAACACGTCGAAAGCAAAGAAGCCTTCAAAACGGAAAGCAAATCAAAATCCATAACAGGTTTCTCGATGCATCATTAAGCACATAGATTCATCCCTGCAAAAGAATTACTACATGGATAATTCGTTTTACGCCTTTTAAACATGTGGTTTCATATCCTTTTTTTATATATTTTTTTTTATTATTATTTCCCTTAGTTTGTGAGAAGTTTTTTAGGTGGGAATTTAGAAACGATTGTAAAATAATTTACATATTTCACGTCTTTACCTGAATGTAAAAATACTTTCACTTATTCTTAGTTGAATCTTTCAAATTTAAGTAGAGTACATATTTTTAATATTAACCTATGGCATAATTTACAAAATTTTTTCGTAAGTTAAATTCAAAATAATTAAAAAAAACTTTTTTTTTTTTTTTTTTTTTTTTTTTTTTTTTTTTTAAGTTAACATTTTATAATGATTAACCCGTTTTTCAAGTAAGAAGTGCAATTTCAGATTATTTGCTTAAGATTCTATTTTAGAATTTTCTTCAGTTTAACTACATTGCTATTTTATTTACATAAGACATCAAGAATAAGAAGATTTAGCAAGACTCATAGATACCAGCTCTACGTTTTTCTGGTTTTTAAGCAACTCAAAAGAAATTAATAATTTTTATTATTTCTGTTTTGAATATTAACAATGTTAATTTTCTAATGTTGTTGTTGATGCATTTTCCGAAGTAAATGATGCAAAACCCTTCCCTAGAACAACCCGGTATAGAAGGCTTAAAAGTGACCAAATAATATAACATTAAGATGGGGGATAATAAACATAATAATAATAATAATCGGAGGATGTGGAAGCCCCCTTTAAAGTAGAGACCTAGGAAAAGTGCCTCGTTTCCCGATGTGAAAACCGCTACTCGCTATGGAAGAGGAAAATGTCACTAATCTGCAAGATTCATGATCTACCCACGATTGAAGAGAGTTACTCGGCAGCATGAGATTCTACTGATCAGTGCCCTGCAGATAACTAGAACACCCAAAGAATATTCTCTCTCGATAATATCGATATTTTAAGTAAATATCGATATTAATTGCGTCATTTTAAATACTTCATCCCTGCCAAGACAAGTAGATGGTCAAAGAAAGTTTAATTAATAAAGGCTTATTAATAATGCATTTTCTGTGGTTCCTGGTAAGCTTATTAAACGCACAACAGGTGCATGCTTCACAGGTAAGCTTCAAAATTATTCAAAATGGCCCACTTTCTTCAAATAAAAAGTAATATTTTTATTCATCTGTTTGTATTTTGAAATTGTATAACAATAGTGCAAGCATAAAAGTTCCACACACTCATTTGTTACTTAGTCATTGGATTAGGAAAAGCGAACCATTTGATCGAGGAGTGATGAATTCCCGACATGGTCCGAGTGCAAGCTCTGAGCAATAAATAAGTTTTTGCGACGTGCGCTCAAGCAAATTAAGCTAGATACAGAAGCTGAGGTGCAACTGAGTGCATGTTGATGAGCATTATTTTCACTTTATCAGATACACTTCACTTTTGTGACCGGAGGGGAAGCAGGGCTCTCCTAGTAGCCAGTAATTGCCCTAGGGAAGAGAAGGGCTAGGCGGTGCAGTCGCAGACTTGATTGACAGGCTGGGGCGGGACTTGGGACGACGGGCACCAATGGCGCGGCGTCGGTGGGCGGAGACGGCGGAGTGCTTTCATCCATATTCATCGTGGCGTTGGGACCGAGGCCGTTTCTCCCGCCGTTAAGTACTTGCTCCTTTGTAGCGCGAGAGGCAGCACGTTCGTCGGCTCGTCGCGCTGGGAGAATTTTTAATCGCCTCTAAACAAAACAACAAAGAAAAAAGTCTCTCTTAGACCCGGTGTGCTCCACCAAACCGCCACCACGTTGAATTTTACAGAGTTTTCGGCCCCCTATTCCAGCATGGCTGGTGCAGCGGACGGCCTTGATCAAGACGGCACGAACAAGTCAGCATTCATGGAAATTCAACAGCAAGGGCTGGCCGGAATGCCCCACCATGCCCAAGCGTACCCGATCCGCTCGACCTACTCGACGCAGCCGTCGCAACACGAGGCCGTGTTCGCCTCGGCGCATAACCCGAGGCCCCTCGGAGCCAACCCTTTCCCTATGAACTATAACCCGTTGAACACCAGCCTCCATAACACCTACTCGCATCCAAGTCATCCATACCTGAGCACCTACCCGGCGAACGTACCTGGTTGTCCTCCATGTCCATCACCTCCTAGAGACGGTAAGTCATTTGACTTTCATCTATTTACACGTGTTTCATCCTTACCACAAGTAATTGCTGTATTCATATTCTAAGTGTTAGGTCATATTCCAAGTGATAGTAAAAAATGTTTTTCAATGTTTAACCTTTCCATGGATTTTCAAAAACTACTTTTAGTAACAAGGATTATAATAATTGTCTATGAATCAAAAATAGTCATTTTGAATCAAAAATTCTCCTGTCTGTATTTCTATACCCCCTTTTTGTTTTGTTTGTTTCATTTAAGTGGCACTTTAGATAAGCGTCAGTTATGTTCTCTATTTTTATGATATTTGAGCAGCACTCATGATGAAATAACTGTGTGTGAATGAGGAGGGTTAAGTTACACAAAATTTATGAAACGTATGTGCATGACTGTCATGTTCTTAATCAATTACAAGCCTGGTCGAATTTCTTATTTAATGACTGAAAATGGCTTTTAGGTGCTTTTTACTAATATAACATTGTTGCTAACGGAGCCTTCCTGTCAGTCAGAGAAAATAAGAATGATTTGATAATAATTATCATAAATTTTTGACTTTATTCTATTTGTCTCTAAAAGTAGCTTATAGAATTCACGCATATCTCTAGCCCTGATTCTGTCTTTTAGACAAAATTCGTTACAAATGCATTGTTTGTTAACAAGTGTAATAATAGTAATAAATTCTCTATGTTACTGAAAAAAGTCGCCAAACAATGTGTAAAAAATTTTCATGTAGGTTGTTTACATGCCAATTGTCGCAAATTAAAAAACAAAGGAAGAAAAAGTCAACTTCCCTTTCAAATTTTGAAATAGGTGTAATTTCTTAAAAGTATGTGTTGCTTAATGTTTTGTGTTATACATGATAATACCTAAAATCCGTTATGACGGGATTACAAAACATTGCCTCAGGTACCTCATTATCGATAATTAAAAATCAGTCAATAAGTTCTGTGTTAATATGCGGAAGCTATCAGTCATTAATTCTTCTTTTTCAGAAAATACACTCATTGAAGGAAGTTCATAAATCATTGAAGGAAGTTTTGTTCCATAAATCAGTCAATTACTTTACGCTTCACGAATATATTTTTGAATGTATATACGTTTTAAATTTTTAACAAATAAGCTTGCGCTTGAATTTTTTGCCGTTTTATGCCCATGTGAATTTGGGTCAATTTATAGGACCGAATTTTACGAATGTTAGTTTATCCTTTAAATGTATTTATTTATTTGTTGATTTATCAATAGTTGATATGTTTAAATTAACATCGTATATAATCTCGAGATATCTGCCTGTCTAACTACTATATACGAATTTAATTATAATTATTTCATAATTAGTATTTTAATTATATATGATTAGTATATCTTAACTAAATCTTTAAACAAATCTACGTCTGCACTTATAAAATAAATAGGTGATAAATGTGGATACATAGATGCTTACATAGATAAACATAGGGCTCCAAGAGATGTTGGTGGGACAGTTAATTTACTTCTCTTAAAGCGATATTAACTCCTCTCCCCTTTCCCGCGAGGAAAATAACACGTAAGCATATATATCATTGTAGCTGTTATGTTCATTTATAATTTTTTTACATATCTTTTTGTAATTTTACACTTCAAGTTTAATTCAGATTAAGTCAGCTTTCAATTTTGTGTTAGCATTTAAAATGTGTCATTAGGTATGGTTTCTCTCCTACTCACAATTTCTAACTAAATCGGTTTATAAAGCGCTCTGTTTACCAAAAAGAAAGGCAGAAAATATACTTGATTCCTCATTCCTAAAGATATAATGCCAAAAGGATCATTCGGGATTTGGGAAAAAAGATTCGTCTAAAAAGTTAGCAGATTATTTTTAACTGATAGTTGAGAAGCACATGTAGAACAGGTAACTTTTTTTTTTAATATATATAAAGCATACATTTGTGTAAAGTGGTGACGTATGATCGCTATGTAAGACTTTGTTTCCGCTAGAAAATAAATGCTTACATACCAACTTATCCGTTAAACGTATGCACCATTATCTGTTACTGAATGGTTTTATACAGAGGTTTTATTGCATACGTTCCATACATTTCATCAATTAAATTTAGACAAAATGGGATAAAAATTTTCTTCGCGTCTTAAACGTCGCAGAAGCCTAATGTAAACTTTACAGTGAACAGTTAAATTTGTGAAACTGAATTTCAGCCATTTCTAAAAGTAATAGAAATTGAAGATACTTTTCAGTTTTTACCCTGATTTTAGAAACAAAAAGGCAGCTTAATTGTTTACGTTTGGTGAAAATTTTAAACACAGCATTTTCTTTTAGTTATCATTTGAGATCTGAAACTATACAAGAAATTTCCTCTTCAGTTGCACATAAAGTAGACAAGAACTGAAAAATATGCAAGCTTTATTTTAGTTTAATTAATTTATTATGTTATTGTAATTTAATTAATATATTTTTTATTGCAACCATTACTACTTGAGAAATTAATCAGATAATACGAGACCAAGCTCCAATTAAATGAGAAAGGGGACTCAAAATTAAGAGTAAGCTTAAAGAATTGCAAAATGCTCGAAACACTATGCACAAAATCTTCAAGCAGGCAAACTGAAAGACAGGTGGGAATTGAAGGAATTGCTTGTGTTATTTAGGTAACGTAATTATCTCTCATATTCTAAATTAGATTGGTACTGATATACTAATTTCTTTAAATTTTATTATTTATGGCTCCAAAAGATGTCTGGTATTCTCTTATAAAAAACACAAAGAAAGGAAATAAAAATAGAAAACAGAAAGTTAAGTAATTTCGTAAATTAAAGAAAAATAGTTATACCTAAAAAGTAAACCCTTATTTCTGGATCAAAAGAACTTTGTACATGTGCTTTGTACTTTGTAATGTGAAACGTAACATAAAACATGCAGTTTGCCAAATTACTTACTTTGCAATTAACAGTACCTTTGGCGATAAATAAGAGCTTGTACTTTGATTTCCAAGATAGCTTACTGGGTTCTTCTCTGTGTCTCCGGATTATTAAGGTGGGATTTATTTTATTTATTTATTTATTTTTTTTTGTTAATTAAAAAAATTTGAGCAGCTATTGACAGTTAATTGTTTTCATTTGCAATATGAGTTTCTTATCAGAACAGCTTATCAGTTTCTCTTTCAGAACTTTACAAACCTATTAAGTTTCATGTCCTGCAGTTTCTTAATGTATTAAAATTACCCATCTCTCTTTCTTTCCGAAATTATTTATGAGTATTTCGAAATTAGGTTATATTTTTATGCATAAAAATCCCTTTTCAAACATTTAAAGAACTTTTCAGAAATATGGATTCCGTAACAGGTAAATCTGATTGCCCTTGTCCGACTATCTCTTTAACGCGAACCGGGGTAGATTGTTTGGGAGATAATGGAAATCGGCTTAAGCGACGTTTCTTCGGGAGATGGAGGAACACTGAGATCAAACAAATATAGTCCAAAAATAACTGTGATTAGTAGGTATGAACTTACCTCAGACGTTACAAAAAGAAAATTTCAGATGCTGAATATATTGTTAGGAATTTTGATTTTGCCTTTTTCTATGAAAATATCTTTTGTTTATTAATTTTCGAAAAATGGATGTTTATTCTAGCTAAGATAGTATAAAATTATTTAATATAAATTTTTTAGGCAACCTGAAACTGGCTTTATGTTATAATCTCCAAATATTGAGGAATTAAAAATATTTGTAAGTAATGTGAGGGCAAGGATTCATTTAAAAGCGAAATCCATTTAACCTAGATTTTAACTATTATTGGATAACGAATAGGAATTCTACATCGTCTAGTTACAATCTTCAGCTATCTCCCTTTTCCATTAGCGTCAAATTGTTTTATGTTTTTCCGTCACAAATGAAGATAGGCTCACTTAATGGAATAATTACCTTATCTGCCTATTCGAACATATTGCCTTCTTTCATCTTGACTAGATTCAAATTTAATTGATTAAAAAAAAATCCGTTGTAAGACATTTAAAGCAGTGGCAAAAAGATCATAAACCTCAAATTCTTTGATAATATATTGATAGTTAAGTCTAAAAGATATATTTTTTAGTATTGGTAATATCCCCCAAAGTAATTCACTGAACTGTTATGAAATTATAAAGAAATTAGCAGCAAATGTGCTTGTTTTTATTTTTCATTTATTTTGGTATGGAAAATATTCTTTCGTTGTTTTGATTTCGAATATTGCCTCTGCTCCCCTCTTGAGGTATTCTAAGCCAGTAGGATTTATTCTGATTGGTTGCAAATTCATGTATGTTTTACATTTACTGTTGCCCCTATATTTTACATTTACTCAAGCATAAATGATTTAGTTTCGCATTTATTCCATTATTTGCACTGATTATTATTTCCAGAAAAGCCATAAAAGAACTTTTCTGGTTAGCCAATTTAAACTGTGTTTCTAATATCAAAGTCTAGTTGTAAAAAGAAACTTCAGAATCTTTCTAAGAATCAATAATTTTTTAAATTTTACCCGAAAATGTGACATATACATGCAAAAACATTTCAGTTAAGCATTAGCGAGTCTGTCAATACTTTATTTCCTTCATTAACTAGTGTTTATATGTTTCGAAAACCTCGAAAAGCAAAGTTCATTTTATAGGGATTATGATGATGTATTGAAAAGAGGTAATTTATTAGATAAAATGTAATTAAAGTTTCGGTAACAGCTTCTTTTTAAATATAGAAGAGGAATCTTTTGACACTTTAAATTAATTATTATTCTAAACAATTGAAATGTGTTTAGAATAATACTTTTCTCGAACGATTGTAGAATGTTCTTCTAAATTTGTTACAAGCCATTCAACAGATACAGTAAACGAATCTAAGGCGGAAACGAATTTAACAAAATGATTATAGAGATACTGCATGAATTTCCAATCCTCTCCCCCCTCCGGAAAAAAATCCAGTTTTTTTTTTCCTTGAAAAGAAACTCAGTGAAGAAACGCAGTTCATGAGAAAGAAGCAA